TTCCTTCAGCAAAAACTTCTTCACCCTCAGCTTCTGGGATCTCCACGTGTTCCCTCTCTGTTTCAGTTTCAACGTCAGGGATACCTTCCTCCTCAGTCTCTTGCACTTTGACCAGAGGAATCCTAACCTCCTCTTGATTTCCTTCAGCTTCCTCTTCATCAGCTTCTTCTATGGTTTCGTGCTGGGGTTCAGAAGTCTGATTTACTTCGTCAGCTGAACTCATAAAGGAGTCTTTTGCTGAAGAGGGTATGTAGGTAGGAATCCCGTCATTATTCAAGCAAGTGGTCGAATCCTCAACCTGAGTGAGATTTCGTGTCGAAGTGCCAGCAGTGTCCTGGAAAATAGAAAGAGTTTATTGCTTTTAAAAGCGTCACGAAATAAAAGAAAGTGAGAGAAGTACATAACAAGCAGTCGAAGTAGATACCTGTACTGGGATTTCAGCACCAGGACTAGAGTTGTCACTTTCACTAGGATTGTTTAATCTGGCGATTACCTCTTGTTCAGTGGGTTCATTGATGATGACAGGAGGTAGCCTCCCAGCCGTAGTTTTAATCCTGATTTTTGGACGGGTTTCAACGACAGGAGTTGGTTTTTTCAATCTTCGTCTCTGCAAAGGAACAGGTGGAGACTCCTCTTCCTCATCGCTAGAGATTTGGATCTCTTGAACCTTCCGCTTTTTGGGGGTTGATTTCTAAGCATATAGAAAACCAAGTCAAGAAGATCAATAACTACGTCAGATAAAACCAAGGGTAAAAAGGAAAGGTAAGTACCTTAGGAGAGGGATTGACAGCAGAGTCTCCCCCTTTTGTACTCTCAGCGGTTTTCTTCGAAGCAACCCTCTTGACAGCTAAACGGAAGGCAAAACAGCTATAGTTAATTAGGTGTTGGAAATCAAATCTAAGACGAAGGAATGGGAAAAGGAATACCTTTTTTGACTCTGTCAAGAACCAGTTTGAACGCCTCACGCAGATGGTGGGCGAAGTCCTTCTCGTCGAAGAACTCTTCCTCATAATAATGTCTCCACCACGTCTCAGAAGTGGTAGAGTTCAGAAAATGAAGGTTAAAGTCGAACAGAGTCAGTGTAGTTCGACCAGAATACCTACCAATATGCTTGGTAGCGGCATCCTCTGAGTAATATGCATTATAAAAGAGTAGCAGTTTCTCTCGAGGGTATATAGGCGAAGGAAGCGATTGAGCAATGCCAAACTGTCGAGAGACAAGATTGGGTTGATAAGCAATTAAGCTCAATTGGTTCTTCGAGCTCTTAAATCTTAAAGGCATGATCCTGGGGCGGAGAAACGCTTCCCACATGCCCACGAACTCATCAACCACATCATCCTCTTCTGCAGGATATGGTCTAGTGAACCATTCCGGGCCAACTTTTCGACTGGCAAAGGGAGCCATAGTCGAAACAAAGCTTTTTCGCTCCACAAACATCATTATGAAGCTTGTAAAGGCCTTTTGAAAATGTTGGCCTTCATCAGTGGGAGTTAGTAATGCCAACCTGGTTCCTTCGACTCTCCTGTTTAAGATTTCAGGAGCTTCTTCAATGATCTTGTTCTTTTGAGGGAGGAAGGATTCGAAGGTGGCGTTAAGCCACAGTTGCAGAAGCCAGAAGGGACCAGATAGCAACAAACTTCCTCTATCTCCTAGAACCTTAAGTTGAGTCACACCATTACTAATGGGCTCATATAAGTTGACCAGAATCAATTCGGCCAAGCAAAGAGGGTATTTGTGATGGAGCTGTGTTGCAAGCGTCAGCATCTTTTTCGTCACCTGCAGTGATTTGGTGCAGAAAACAAATCGAGACAGCCACATGGCCAAGAAAGCTATGTGCTCCACCTCCGACACGGTATTTGAAGCCTTATCATGAAAGTGGTTTATGAAGGTGGTATAAGTGGGTTTGGTAGCAGCAAACCCAATAGGATCCTCAGACAAGTCTTCAGGATCGAAATAGTCACCAATGGGTTGAAGACCAGTGATGGCAGATATGTCGAACAAAGTAGGGGTCATCATCCCACAAGGGAGATGAAAAGTGAAATGTGCACTATCCCAGAAGTATAACGAGGATACCAGCATAAGGGGGCAATAAGGTAACCCTGTCTTCGACAACATCACTAAGTCATAGATGCCCATCTCCTTCCAGACAGAAGCTTGCACCCTCTCCATTTTATTCAACCAGTCGGAGTATTCAGAAGAAAGGTTAGGGCTTGATCGAAAGATTCGATTCCCTTTGTTCATGAACTGGAGGTTAATATCATCAGTAGTTTGAGGATGTTGCTGGTTAGCTGGTGTAGCATCTTCAGAATCTGCCATAGGTTTTTTGGCACAACCTATGGGTTTAAGCCTTGGGTGTGTAGGTAAAAGGCATAGTTTTTTAAGGGATTTTCGACACATGAAGATAATGGGCCGGACATAGCATACATCTTCCCGCCATATCTGACGGGAATAAGGAGTTGCGAATCATAGGCTTCTCGCCATTCTCTCATAGGTTCAGCAATGTACCTGTTAGTCGAGGAAGAAGGAGGATTGGTGGAAAAAATCTCTGGTGCTTTCTGAACATCATTAGCATTCTTTGGTTGCAGATTGTTTGGGGCATTAGAAAAAAGACCATTGTTAAAGACTTAAGAGAAAGAGCGAAAGCGACAATACAGTGTTGTGAATTTGTGAGAATGCAAGGGGTTTGGAAAAGTTGAAGATGGTAAAAGTTCTAAATAGAGAAGCCTGGAAGTATTTATAGCCTTCAGAAGTGGGAAATGTCTCGTCAAAAGCATTTAATGTTTCGCAGGTAGTGGGGCACGTGGCAAGGCATGAGACGAATACCGTGCAGGCATTGGGAAACGTTGGGACATGCTTGCCTAGATTATAGGAATGAGGCCATCATGGCAAGCGTGGTAACGACAGTTTTGAAGAGACATTTTGAAAAAAAGTAATGATGGTTTTACCAAGTGTAGCAGCTGTCGGAAGGCGAAAAGCACACGTCAAAGCTTAGTGGACAATTGGGAAGACAGGTGTCGAATGGGAAGTTCAAAGAATGGCTATTTCTTTGAGTGTCGAAATAGACAATCTTGGGGGGCAATTTGTTGGCTCCCAAATTCGACACTTACTATGTTTGGTCTCTTTGACCAAGCAACTGGAAATGAACTAAACCAGGAAGTATAATTCGACGCATGAGATAACTTAAGGAAAAGGGTCCAAGGTATGATAAGAAGCTTCAACCAAAGATCCATTCGACTGAAGCAAATGTAGGTTTTTTGACTGAAGGAAAGTGTTCGCGCCTTGACACATGGGACGAAGACCATTTTGAAATTTGAATTATTGGAGGGAAAGATGGTTTTCATCAGCGTCTAAGGGAAGAGAACGTGGCAAAAAGCTATGGGTCGAGAGGCATGCGGAAGACACTTGTCTTCATCCTAACACAGAATGTCCCCTCGACGGTTACCTACTTTTAGTATAAATTAAGAAGTTTGTGTAATTTTTAAGTGTGTTCAACTGATGGTACTAAACCTCTCAAATATTATCCAAGTAACTACTGCGTGAGAAAGGATAAAAAGCAGAGCAATGTACGTTAGAAACACATTTTTTACTTAATAAAAGTCTTTTTACTTCACTTTACCATTATCCTACAAAGTTACCTTTTTACTTCTTTACTTGCATTTTTATGCTTTTATTAACTGTTCTACAATCTTAAACATCTCTCCCCTGGGTCGAACGTGCGTTCTTCCTTCTTACTCATTTTACATAAAGATTAGCATATGTTCTGGGATTAGTTTGGTCGATCCCGTAAGTAAACCAAAAACTTACCTTTTTTGGAGACCAGCGGTTGTTTACCAAAAACAACGGTAAACACTATGGTAGTTGTAATTGTGTGTGTATGGATTGTAGTTGGAAGCAATGGTCTTTGAAAGTACACACACATGATGAATTAATCAGCCTTTTGAATTTTACAGTGTTTGCTTTAAGACCAACTGGAACAACCTGCAAGCCTTGCAGTTGTACTTTGATCCCTGCATCATTGCTTCACATCTCGTCACTCATTGAATAGTAAATAGTAACCCCTTTCTTTACTATCATTGTTTCCCCATTAATGATTTTACTGTTTTTGCGTCCTTTTTTTGTTTGTTTCCTTAACGAGCTAGTCTCCCTGCTCCTAATAAACAGCTAAAAACTTCAGTGAGATTTTCTCTGATTCCGTAACACACCACTACACAGTAACAGAAGAATCACTCATGAATCCTCTGTCATCCACACCTTTTCCATACTCTTTCTCACTATCTATTTTTATAATATATTCATTTGCCTTTCTTTTGAGTCACTAGTTACCCTAACTCATAATTATAGGCCATAACAAAAAGTAGTTTCTTTATTTGGTTACATGCATGACTTTCTTAACCCTAAATATGCATAAACCATGCATGACTTTCTTTAATCATATTTCTTCTTTTGATTATTTTATTAGGCTAATATGTTGCTTAAATAGGGTTTGTATTGTAGAGTATTAAGACATTAGGACAAGCAAAGCATCAATTTGATTCATGTAGAAGACACTAGCATGCATATGAGTCTATGACACATAAGAGCAAAGACACAAAAAATAACAGTCAAGTCAAATCAGAAGTCAAACCACATACACACAACACAACTGACTCATCTGGTCGGATAATACGGGTAACCACGTCTAGCTATAGCCAGTTAATAGTTCGGTTTGTTTTGAGGCAGTCCAGTTTCAAATCAAATACAGTTTCATACAAAATCTCACACAGAACAAAAGTAACCCCCAACTAACCTCAACTAGTCTCGGGAAAAACACTAGGGAATCAATCAAAACAACTCTAGTTCAAAACCATGCAGGACAAAGGGTACTTTCGGTAAAACACATTCTCTCTGCACCCTCGTTTGCCACCTTACGCTTTCTATATCTCCACCCAAACAGTACCACAAACCTCCCACTTCCCAACACTTTCCAAAACCTAAGTAACAGAGATTCTCACTTGCTTCCAATGGATCCAGACGCATTCACCGCCAGCCTATTCAAGTGGGATCCACGCACCGTCCTCCCCACTGCTCCATCTCCCCGTCCTCAGCTTCTTGACTACGCGGTTCCTCCTACAACCACTCCGATGACTTATCATCCAGCGAGATTACCAAGAGAGCTAGGAGGGTTGGAGGAGCTTTTCCAAGCGTACGGTATCAGATACTACACGGCGGCGAAGATAGCGGAGCTTGGTTTCACGGTGAGCACGCTGGTGGACATGAAGGACGATGAGCTTGACGACATGATGAACAGCCTCTCCCAGATTTTTCGTTGGGATCTTCTTGTTGGTGAACGTTACGGTATCAAAGCCGCCATTAGAGCTGAAAGAAGACGCCTCGATGAGGAAGAAATTAAACGCCGCGGTCTTCTCTCAGGCGATACCACAAACGCTCTCGACGCTCTCTCTCAAGAAGGTACATACATACAGTTATTTATAAAAATTGACTCAATTTATTGTACTGTTTCATTAAACTACTGTTTTAAACATAACAACGTCAACCGGTAATATTTACTTTATATTACAAATTCATGATAAATGAACTTTACTTTATAGTTATTTGATTATGGATTTGTTAGTATGAACATGGTTAAAATAAATATGCATGCTCACTTTACAGTGATCATGACGTGACGTAAAAAGTTAAACTAACAAACATAACGGTGTATATTGTTATGTACATAGGTTTGTCGGAGGAGCCAGTGGTGCAACGTGAAAAGGAAGCGGTGGGGAGTGGAGGAGGGAGCACGTGGGAGGTGGCTGTGGTGGAAGAGAGGAGAAAGAGGCAGCAGATAAGGAGGCGGAGGATGAAGATGAAGGGGAATGATCATGGTGAGAATGAAGAAGGAGAAGAAGACGAAGAGGATAACATCAGTGGTGGTGGTGAGAGGCAGAGAGAACATCCGTTCATTGTGACGGAGCCTGGGGAAGTGGCACGTGGCAAAAAGAACGGTCTGGATTATCTCTTTCATCTCTATGAACAATGCCGTGAGTTTCTCATTCAAGTTCAAGCCATCGCTAAAGAGCGCGGTGAGAAATGCCCCACCAAGGTACTTCACCATAACACCATGTCATAACCAATTTCACTTTCTTTTTTCATTTTTCTTTTTCTTTTTAGGTTTTTGTACTTTTCAGTCATATCAATCTATCTATCTTCTGAACCTGACTCTGACTTGAATCCAGTCAGATTCTTGTATTGTGTAGTGTAGTTCTTTTACGAACCGTTTCAACAGTATTTTGTTGCCGTGAAACATTCAACGGAACACGTGACGAGCCAGGGAAACTCCTAATGGGTCCCACCTTCCTATTCCACTGGGATTTCCTTTTCCATTTCTATATATCCAACTATTATCCGGTTACAACGCTTGAACCATATAACAAAACCATGCATTACACCACTGGATCCTACTATGTTCTCATAACAAATCCCGATTCAAACGCATGCATGCAATTTCGATAATACAGTGGAACCCATCCAAAATATAATGGTTAATTATTAATTATTTTGAGTGCAGGTGACAAATCAAGTGTTTAGGTATGCAAAGAAAGCTGGAGCGAGTTACATAAACAAGCCGAAAATGAGACACTATGTTCACTGTTACGCGTTGCATTGTTTAGATGAGGAAGTGTCAAATGAACTGAGAAGAGGATTTAAGGAAAGAGGTGAGAACGTTGGCGCGTGGAGGCAAGCTTGTTATAAGCCACTTGTGGCTATTGCTGCACGTCAAGGATGGGATATTGATACAATATTCAACGCGCATCCACGACTATCGATATGGTACGTGCCAACCAAGCTTCGTCAGCTTTGTCATGCGGAGAGGAACGGTGCTGCTGCTTCAAGCTCCGTCTCGGTTGGAACTACTCACCTTCCTTTCTGAGTTGAACTGTATAAGAGAGTGCTTTTACTCTTGTTTGATTAGTATTGAATCTTCCATATGTAGAACTGTTATTCTTATTAGTGTGAAAGTACAAGTGTAGAACCTCCCTTCAACGGAAGAGAATGTAGCAATTTCATTCTAGGTAGAGGACTTTTCTTAGTTACTATGCAAGGAAAAAATCAATATAATGTATCTTTAGGAGCCTTATAAATAATTTGTTTGCTTGGTTTAAGTCTTTTCGGATTCAAAATTATCTTAATCTTCATACTGTTGAAGGTACACGAGCCTTATTTAAGAAAATATATGAAAAATCCCGTACGTATCTTGAGTTTTGTTGGGGTTTAGTATTTGAAGATGAAAACCAATTCAAAATTTAAAATGATTACATAAGAAAAACGGCTTTGCATCATTTGATGTGATTACATAGTTGACAAAACTCTAAGAAATATTTGTTCATCTAAATTTTAAAAATGTCTCAGATTAAGGTGATTCTTTAACATTTAAGAAAATATTATATAGTTGAGTTTCAATTTTAATTTTTTCGTTGACTCATAGATTATAGTTGAAAAAGACTACCATTATTCAAATATTTAATTGTTGACACATTATTTTCTTTTGTTGGTATATACTTTTTTTGGGATTAAAAGTAAAATTGTATTCATCTATTCAAATTGATAGTATAAATTGCTTAAAAAAAACAACACAAATTGTGTAGTATAATTTGAAACATTAAGAAATTAAAGAATCCATGAAAACATGTTATAACGATTCCCTCTGGATATTAGAAGGAACGAGTGAATTATTGTCTAGTACAATAATCTTTACACATGGATATTAAAATACTGTTCATGTGGATTTATGTGTTGCACAAGTATAACCGTAAGTGATAATTGTCAATGAATTTAAAATATGACAACTTCAAGAGTCAAATGCTGTTTGATGTTACTGATTTAAGAAAGTTTTTAATGACAAATGTCTAGTGGTTCCTGATGATATATGAACAAGAAGAGATATTTCAAGTCTCATAAGCCAAATGATCCAAGTTCTAGATGAAGGGCTAGACATAGTTGAATCAAGAAGGAGAACTTAAAGTCTAGAAATTGTGAAAGGAAGAATTTGTGAAAACTCATCTGATCATATACTTAGCACTTTAGTTTGATCAATTTATTGTAAAAAGAGACGAGAATAAGTCCTATGTACCAAGGCAATCACACACAAAATGATTTTCAAACTTCTTTTCTCTTTTGATAAAATCTCTTAAAACCTTTTTGAGCACGTTCTTAATTGGTTAAAAGATTGGTTAATCAATAAGGAAGATATCTTACATTGATTAATTGACTAAGGGCTTCCTCCAATTGTTTTATAACGCCTCTTAATCAATTAAATGAGATGTTAATTGAGTAGTTGGCTTCGAAACTCAATCTTTCTTTGTTTGGATTGATTAATCCATTAAAAAGATAGACTTAATCAATTAAAACATTAAAAATACCCATGAATCATTTCCTTCTTGACTCAAATTTTTTCATACGTAAAGAACTCTCCTCCTCGTTTCATTTCACGCGACACTACTAAAAAAATGACATTTGAGAAAAAGGTTTTTACATCAGGTATTAAAATATATGATGTAAAAAATAAAATTAAAAACATTTTACATCAGATATTTATTTGCAATGATATAAATAATGTGAAAAAAATGTATTTTCGCTATCTTTTACATCGCTCCATTTAATCAGCCGATGTAAAAGGTTTCGTGAAAAAAACACGGTGGCATTTTTGTAAATAAGAAACCAGATGGCAGAAATATTATATATAAAAAACTGGCCAAATATTACATCAGTCCCTGCAGTCAACCGATGTAAAAAGTCCTTGGCAGATTGGTAATATTAAAAATATATTAAAAAGCTTACATCGGGGAATCATAAAAACCGATGTAAAAAACATCAACCACCCGAACCTTACATCGGGCCATCCTTTAAACCGATGTAAAAAAGTAGCTTACATCGGTCCTTCTGAAAACCGATGTAAAAAACATCAGTGCCAGAACCTTGAATCGGGCCAAGGAATGCACCGATATAAAAACATATGTACCTTACATCGGTCCTTCTATAAACCGATGTAAAAAACATCAGCGCATAAACGTGTCTAAAAACATTATTTCGTCACTGTTCAAACAGAAACCCAAGACATCCTCCGCCGCCCCCGTATCGCCTACGCCGTCCGCAAGCCGTTTCGCCTACGCCGCTCTTCACAGCTTTCACGTCGTCCGCCTAAACGCACGAAGACAACCTCTGCCGTCCGTTTCGCCGTCCGTAAGCCGTTTGTTCGCCGTCTTCGAAACATCCACCACCGTCCAACTACGATTACGGTACGAAACTTTTTATTTTGTTCAACTTCATTGTATATCTAGGAATTGGTTGAAAGTTTATATAGAATTATTTCCAGAATGTTGGCTTCTAGGTTGAAGAGAGTCATGGGTAAGTTGATATTTCAATGTCAAACAACTTTTGTATTCCAAAGACAAACATTGGTGTTTTAGTTTCTAAGAGTTATATATACAAAAAAGTTTTTAAGACATTCTTGTTTCTTTGTTTGTTACTGAGATTCATTATAAAAAATTAGAAGTACATAAAAAAATAATTAGAAGATTATACTATGAATCCATTACTTTGTTCATATATATTTTTTAATTACTAAACAGTTTATTATTATTAGAGAGGTTAATTAAGTCTAATTAGTTATAAATAGTATATATTTTGTATAAAGTTAAGAATATAGTACATGTTGTGTATAATTAGTCATTCTTTTTCATTAGAGAAGTTGTCTATTTAGAAACCTCCAAAAAAAGCATTAATGGTCCTCAGAAACACCCAGTTTATCTTTAACCTATCAAACTTAATAGAGTTATCACCTTGCCATTGAAATTTGATTCTATTTTTCTTTCTCCGCGAAGCAGCGCAATTTGCAATCTCGGAATCTTCGTGAAGTAGCGCAGTCGTGGGCACACCGTTCGTCAGACCTTCCTCCGTGTGAACATAGTTATGGATCGTAGTTGGATGAGAGCTAATCGATTAAGTGACGAGTACGAACATGGAGTGATGGAATTTCTACAGTTTGCTGAAAGTAATGCTGAAAAAATTCTTCCTACGCTTTTTCTCTGTCCATGTGTTCGTTGTGAAAATAAAGAACCAAAACGTAGTAAGAAAGAAATCATGGATCATTTAATTTGTGTAGGGATTTGTCAAAGTTATACAGAATGGATATGGCACGGTGAAGTAGTAGCAAAGTCAAACGTGTCTCAAAGAGATGATGTTAGTGTAGAAATGGATGATCGTCTAGAAGACATGATGCGTGATATTGGATAAGATTCGTTTAAGAGGGCACATACGTATGATACTATATGCAGTGATAAGGATAAACCATTGTACCCGGGATGCAAAACATTTACACGTCTGTCAGCCGTGTTAAAATTATTTAATCTGAAGGCAAATAATGGGTGGACTGACAAAAGTTTTACCGAGTTGCTTGAATTGTTGACCGAAATGCTTCCAGAAGGTAATGTAATGCCAAGTCGTTATTACGAGGCGAACAAAATATTGTGTCCGATGGATTTGGAGTATGAAAAGATACATGCCCTAATGATTGCATATTATACAGAAAAAAGTATGTAAACTATAATCATTGTCCGAAGTGCAAGGCTTCACGCTACAAAAAGAAAGATGGTGAATCAATTGATGATGAGGTGGTCAAAAAGGGTCCTCATGCGAAAGTGGTATGGAACCTACCAATAATTTCAAGGTTCAAGAGATTATTCGCCAATGCAGATGACACAAAGAATCTTAGATGGCATGCAGAAGAAAGAAAATATGATGGACAAATTCGTCATGTAGCTGATTCTTTGCAATGGAAGAAAATAGATTCTTTGTTTCCAAATTTTGGCAAAGAGTCGAGAAACCTTAGACTTGGACTTGCTACTGATGGAATGAATCCGTTTGGTAATCTGAGTACTAACCATAGTTCTTGGCCTGTTCTCCTGATGATTTACAACCTATCTCCTAGGCTGTGCATGAAGCGTAAATATATTATGTTATCGATGATGATATCGGGCTCAAAACAACCAGGAAATGACATAGACATTTATCTAAGTCCACTGATTGATGATTTAAGAGTGTTGTGGGAGGAAGGGGTGGATGTTTTTGATGCGTATTCTGGCGAACAGTTCAATATGCGTTCCATGTTGTTTTGCACCATCAACGATTTTCCGGCATATGGTAATTTGTCTGGGTATAAAGTTAAAGGGCATAAGACGTGTCCTATATGTGAAAAAGACACTTGTTACCATCAGCTTGAAAAAGGAAAGAAGACCGTTTATCTCGGGCATCGAAAATTTCTAAAACGTTATCATCCATATCGTAGATTGTGGAAAGCTTTCAATGGGGAACAAGAGCATGGTGTTGCTCCAAAGCCCTTGTCTAGAGAGGAAGTTTATCAGCGACAACAGGGACTTGATGTTGCCTTTGGAAAGTACCAAAAATGATCTACTATGAAAAATGTATGGAAAAAGAGATTGATTTTCTTTGATCTTCCATATTGGTCTAGTCTTGATGTAAGACATTGTATTGATGTGATGCACGTGGAGAAAAATGTATGCTATAGTGTAATAAGAACACTTCTCAACATTCAAGGCAAGACAAAAGATGGTATTAATGCTCGTCTGGATTTGGGTTTGATGGGTATACGAGAAGAGTTAACTCCATAATATATAGGTAACAAGACATATTTGTCTCCTGCCTGCTACACTTTGTCTAAAAAAGAGAAAACAAGTTTTTGTGAGTGTTTACAAAGTATCGAAGTGCCGCATGGTTACTCATCAAATGTCAAGAGGCTTGTACCAGTTAAAGATTTTAAATTAGTTGACTTAAAATCTCACGACTGTCATGTCTTAATGCAACAACTACTACCATTGGCTATTCGTGGGATATTGCCTAACAACGTTAGGAAGA